ACGATGAGGAGGTAACCTGGTAGCACGATGCTTGTTAAAAGCCTCCTTGAGGTTATGGTACTCAATAGGGACTTTTGAGAGGTCCGGGTAGGTTTCTGATGAGTCAGGTGTACGTAGGAGACTAGGAGAGGCATTAGTCAAACATTGGAACATACACTTGTCAGACCATCCCAAAATCTCCCCCTTCAGCCAATCCAGCTGTGGATTGTGAGTGCGCAACCATGTGATCCCCAAGATGACAGAGATGTTAGGAGAGGGGATGGCCAGGAAACTTAGGGTTTCGACATGGTTTCCCCCGAGCCTCATGGTGATTGGGTCAGTTTCATGGGTGGCTTGGTAAATGATGTGTCCATCAATAGCCTGCACTTCTTGAGTCCGGGCAATGGGGGGCAGAGGCAGGCCAATAGACTCAGCAAAAGAAATGTCCATAAAGTTTGTGTCAGCTCCAGAGTCAATAAACACAGGACAGCTGTGCTCCTGTTTGGCATAAAAAAACGTAGCAGAGGCAAAAGGTCGTACGGGGGATTTTGGAACCAAACGACCCAATAGAGCCCTCCCCTTCTCTATTGAGCATGCCCTTTTAACGTGCAGTTACGTACACTGTGATCTGAGCCCCCACAATAAAAACATAGGTTGAGTAACCGACGTCTAGATCTCTCTTTTTCTGTGAGCTTGGTCTTCCCGATTTGCATGGGTTCCTCATGGGAGGATTGTGTTGTGTTGTAGTTACTCACAGTTGTGTGTCCAGGTGAAGTTGCCGGACCTATGGGCACAGAGCGGGGGCTGACAGGTGGAATGGGTCTCCTGGATCTGTCTCTCCGCCTCTCCAACAGTCGGAGGTCGATGCGGGTGGCAAGATTCTCTAGGTTCTCCAGGCTTGTAGGAAACTCTCGAGTTGCCAATTCATCCTTGATCCGGTCCGAGAGACCCTGATAGAACATGTCCATGAGGGCTGCCTCATTCCAGTCGCTCCCTGCAGCCACAGCATGGAAGTCGATGATATAGTCGTTAACCCTCCGGGTTCCTTGTTCCAAAGTCAATAATCCTGGGGTGGCCTCCCTACTTGGTAAAACAGGGTTAAAAATCCGAATGAGTTCATTCGAGAAAGCACGGAAATTAAAACAGATGGGAGAGTCCTTAGCCCATTCAGCGGTGCCCCAAACCTTGGCTTGGTCCGACAATAACGAGATCACATAAGCCACGCGGGAGCGTTCGGTTGGAAATGATGAAGGCTGTAGTTCAAAGTGAATCTCGCATTGGGTGAGGAAGGGGCGGCATTGTTTGGGCTCACCTTTAAAAACTTCCGGTGGAACAAGTCGAGGTTCGTGGACAGGGGAGACCCAGAACTGGACCGGGGATGCGGAAGCCCTCGGGACGTCGGTCACATGACGAGATGAGTCACCGGTTCGGAGCAGATCCAGGAGTTCGTTTACTTTGTCTTCCAGACCAGAAATGGAGCGTTCCACACCAAGCTGCCATTCCTGTGTCGGTGCTGGGCCCATGGTGGCCAGATTTTTCTGTAACAACCAGGGCTGGAGGACCCGTGAAAGCACCAGACACAGTAAGACACTTTAAAGTTTTTATTTGAGAACACACAGGGGAGTGTTACCAGTCTGTAGGAAGGGCAGAAGCAGAAGGCTTGGTCAGGAGGGGAAATCCAGAGGCAGAGTCCATGTAACAGATCCAAGGTCAGGAGTCCAGAAGATCAGAAACTATGAGATAATCCAGTCAGGGGGCAGGCAGGTGGCAAGGTCGAGGTTCAGAAGCAAGGTCAGGAACTTGAGGTTTAGGCAGGGTTTTAGAATGCTGGAGAATCTACTAACAAATGCTTTCAAAAATCTGGCACTGGCTTGGTGTTTTTCCTGATGTTATATAGAGGTGGTTGCAGGTGGAGCTGATGAGTTAATGTGAGACAGGTGGTTTGAATCAGGTAGATGATGAGCTGGTTGTGGTTGCTGGGGAAACCGGGCCTGGCTGGAGCAGTGGCATGACATTTATGGCTCATCAGGGGTTTGGGAGGAAGGGTATTCATAGGTAGTTTCAGCTCATTCAGTGACAACAGATAGCTACAGTTCATAAGCTTGACCGTCAGAATTGACAAAGTTCCTCGGATAAGAGGTGAAACATCTTTAAGGAACCAAAGAAGTCCAGTTTTCTTTATTCAAACATCCTTGGATTATCATGACCTGAATGACTGAGAACCTTCACCAGCATACTTCTAAATTATCAGTCCAATTATTGTCACAAGAGCAAGAAGCAAAGAAGTGTTTTTATGTCCTGAGAAAGCCCTAAGTGTCTTGTTCAGTGTGGTACAGCTACCAAACAGCACTGTGACTACATTTCGGCATTTACTTTAACAAACCTGTTAAAAGATTGATGACACAAATAACGCAATTTTTTTTTAGATATTTCCATGACCGTCATGTCTGTTGTCTTTTTTTCGGGAAAGGCTCCCAATAGTTTTATCCATGTCTATATATACTTTCTACATTCACAGAGAGCTGAGCATTTAAGCAGAAACATCCAGAGCCAGAATACCAATCAACAGCAGCCCAGGATTTTCTGTATAGGATTCATCATCTGAATCCTCAGGTACACCATGCGTTCAAGGCCTCCGAACAAGGTGACAAGAACATTGATGACACAAGAAGTTTCCTAGCGACGTGTGTTTTTTGTGAAACTGATGAAAATAAGTGTTTATTGGTCGTTGTGATTCTACAATTTTGGTGGCAGATTTGCTCTAAAAACGCGTGGTTTGTGCACTGTGTTCTGTTTATTACCATTACAGATCAAATTTGAACAATTGTATCGATCTTTTATTGATTTAACTGTTGCTTTGTGAATGTTGAGACCAAGTACATTCATACATGTGAGAGGTCAGTTTTGCATTGCAAGAAAACATCTTATATTTGCATATTTTTAGCATGAAATTATGTCTAAAAATTCTGTCACAAAGTTTTAGTTTTACAGACACGATATTTTCCAAGACAGCAGAAAGGTGGTCTTCCGACTCTTGGAGAGTACGGACACTTTTTTCCTCCTCTCCTCCCTATCTTATCCCAATGCTCTTTGTCTGTCTCTGGGTGTACGGTGCTTCTCCATTTTGTCTGGAAAACTGGAAACTGAAATTACTAAAATGGACCTGGTCAGTTGGTCTCTCAGCGCGATTGACAACATTTTTTCAACGATGAGAACGGGAGAAGGGGCTCCCGGGTGCCCCTCTGGGACAGATCCAGTTGGGTATATCATGGACTCCTGGAAACAGTGGAACCTGATCTGCCTCTCTCAACTGTCTGTAGAGGATTCTGAAGACGTCTGGATATTTGTGGTGTTGGTGTCAGGTTTCCTGCTTTTTGGCCTGGGAGGTTACCTGGCTTACCGGAAAATTAACGAGCTGTCGAGGAATATTGGCTCATTCCCAGAGCGCGGGACTATGAGCTGTGAAGGCCACTGAATCGTTCCAGGAGTCACTGTGCCCTCTAAACCCAACTACCTCCCTCCCCTGTCTCTGAAGTGCCTTTTTTTCCTCCACCTGACCCAATCCTCATATAAACCCTCTGATCTCTATTAAGGTAGTGCGACTCGGGTTGCCAATGACCACAATCACCAATTCTTGTCATGTGTCTATGCCTATGTATGTCTGATCTCAGAATTGTGTGTACTGAAACTCTAATTTCCCTCTGGGATTAATACAGTATCTTTGAATTTGAATTTGAATTTTGAATTTGAGTTACATGATGGAATAAAGTCACAATTTTGTTTTCTTCAGACTTGGAATTGAACACGTTAACCTGAAAACTCTCCTAAATAAAGAAAATGCACTTCTTTTCCCCTTGCTGCTTGCACTGTATAATAATTACATCCTTTAAAAACAATATCTGGAAATAATAAATTTTTACTCTGTAATTAAGTTTAAATTTGTCAAATATCCAACTCCTAATATCCAGGACTTGACACACAACTTGTATGCTTTAGGACTTGATACTAGACTTGGAACTTGAATATCTTGGGACTTGACTGGATTTAATATTTGAAAGTATCTGCTCTTGAGTTGATTTGAGACGTGCATGTTCTGGGGCTTAACCTAAATCTGAACTTGCATGTCTTCGGAACTGACTAAAGTCAGGACTTCCATGTCTTGGGGCTTAATTTTCTAGGGGATTTGAGTGGAAAGACTTGAGACTTACAAAACAATAACTTGGTCCCAACTCTGCAAAAGAGTCACAACATTTAGGCAAGGCATCTTCAGAATCAGAATCAGAAAAGGTTTATTGCCATTGTCAATGAACAAGCAGTTCACAAACTAGGAACTTGTTTCGGTACTAATGTGCCACATATAACATGAATAATAAATTTCAGAAATGGAATAAGTAGAATAAAATATAATAAAACTAGCATAAAACATTCAGCTATAAAAAAGGCAGGTAGTGGTAACATGGCCGATAACGTGACGTAGTGTCGAGTACAGAAGACGAGCATGGTTGTGTGATTATAAGCTATTTACAAGTCTAACGGCAGATGGAAAGAAGCTGTTCTTATGGCAGGAGGTTCTGGTCTGGATGGACCGTAACCTCCTGCCTGAGGGAAGCGGCTCGAAAAGTCTGTGTCCCGGGTGAGAAATGTGATATATTAATTTCATTAATATATCACATTTCATACACAGAAGCAATTAAATTTGCTTTGACATTTTTTAACCAAACATGTCATCGTTTTTTTTTCTCAATTGCCCGTTCCTGAATATGGACGGAAAACTGTAGATTTCCTGAGATTTGCAGTCTGACTTGTGCTGACTTTGCTAAAAACCAAGCGGTTTGGAGGGTTTACAATATTGATACTAGGAAGGGTATAAGTATTTGTTTAGTTTTATTTATTTATTTGAAGGTGGTGCTCTTTATTTTCCCACTTAAGGTAAAATTGTCCTTTAATTTGTGAACAAACAGCAGCCACATTTTGGTAGCTGCAGTACCGCTGTGGCACCCGTAGATGGCAATAGCAACAAAACCGATGCTAATCTACCGCAAGCACATTCACACAAAGAAGTCAAACGTAAACATTTCACGCAGGGTACCTCTCACACACTGAAATATCCATGTTGTTTAGATTTTTGTTTATAATTATGAGTTATAGTATAACATATTGTATTTATGTGTTGCTATGTATAGAGCACCATTGAAAGCTAACCGCTAGCGTTAGCGACGCAGCTAAGCTAACTTGAAACAGCATCAAGCTAGCCTGTTTGTGGGCGTGTGACTAGCTAGAAGAAGCTAGCACGTACGCTTCTTTTATTGCATTCGCCTTCTTTGTCTGCAGGTGGTTTGGCCTTAAATATGGACACAAGAGCGTTGAGGAATCCTTATCATGACTACGATGGGAGCCCTGCGTCTACACAGGCGCTGTTTGACGCTCAAGGAAAGGTAAAGCATTATGGTGGAGTAGCAGGCTGCTTGTGTTTTGACTTTATTATTTAGGGGTTTTATGTTTAGATCACACCGGAGTTTGCCCAGAGGCTGAGCAGCACGGTCAGCGAGCTTTTAGCTGTGATGGAAAACGGGCTGAAGTCTGCTGATCCAAAAGACTGCACTGTTTACACTGGCTGGGCAGGTGATGGCACAAAAACATGCTGGGTAGAAATCATTCTGGATGGGATTCAACATGGAAGATGGGATTTATAGGGATTAGCTTAATCTAAAATATAGTGCACATAAAATAGGGATGTTTCACACGGACTAAGGATGTGGATAAATTGGGGAAAAAACACGATAATAAACGTTTGCGATAAATACTAAGAAATCAGACGGTTCAGCTCAGCAGTGGAGAAAAAAAATGAGAGAAAAGTTTTAAGTCAATATTTTTATTATCGTGTCTACTTTATGCTTAAATTTGAGCAACACAAAAATATTATGCATAAAACAATTTTAGATTTTATTTATATTTTGTATTTATTGTAATTTAATTATTATTTTTTTATTTGTATTTTCATGACTCTCCGGGACTTTTAACTTGACAATTTTAGCTCTTGAAGATTCTGGACACCCTTGAACCATAAACATTTTAATTTAAACTAATTCTAATGTTTGATTACAGTTTCTCTAAACATGCTCAATGTTTGGCTTATCTTAGCACTAAATCAAAATTAACAACAGTGTAATCAACAAAAAACGAGTAATAATAAAATCATTCTATCACATTCTGCTTTGTGACAGAACGAGGGCAAGACATGGTGGTTGGGTGTGCTGCATTTGAAAAAATAGACTTCAATTTCTTCCAGTTATGCAATTTTTTACTCAGTTTTGTTTATTTTCTATGCAGAAACAATCCTGAAGAAGAAATTTGTGTTTACTTTGACTTCCTGTTTGGATATCCAGGCTCTTGTTCCAGCTTTTCTCTGCCTTTGTAGCTGCATGTTTTACCCATGACGCCTTCATATAAGTGTTTTTAGTTCTTACAAATAGGTCTAAACATTTTTATGTTGGCATATACCGACTCTTGTTATAGAGGTGTAATTTTGGTCTTAAATCTTCACCACCAAATCTCTACCTGCTGATGTTTATTCGTGTCTGAAGTTCCCTGAAAAAGATCAACAACGGATATTTGAAGCCTTACAGAATCGGAGACCTTATGCTAAAATAGATGTACTTTAAAAATGGTCAATTTATTTGTTCAAAATTTCTAAATGCATCTTTCGTAAGGATTTTAAATTGGAAAAGGTCAAGAAAGATCATATTATAGGGTACATTCTAGTGTGCCCTGCTTTGTGAGGCTTATTTACACACCACACTACTTGTTTGTTTTTCTTTTAGGATTATATTTTCCTCCACAATCCAGCATCCTGATGCTAACAACTCCCAAACGTATAATAAACATGCTGTCTAAAATATAACATTTTCTTGGGTTTTTACACCTTTTGCATAGAATAAAAGGCTAAATCTGCATTGTTATCCCTCCCTTGACCATGTTGTGTATTTGTTGGTTCGCAGGTATTGCGTTGCTCTACCTGCACCTCCACCGTGTTTTTAATGAAGACTCCTTCCTTCAGAGAGCCTTAGAGTACGTGAGTCGCAGCCTTAAGTGTTTGACTCGTCGCCATGATGTCACTTTCCTGTGTGGGGATGCTGGTCCACTCGCGGTGGCTGCTGTGGTTTATTCTCGCCTCCGGATGACGCAGGAGGCTGATGAGTGCATCAACAGGTCATTATCCATCATCCGGTGGTTAGAAGCAGCAAATCGTGCTCTAAGATGAGTGTCGTGTCCCTCCAGACTGATGCAGTACCACCAGATGGTGGTGAACCTTTCAGGTGGGCTGCCCGATGAGCTGCTGTACGGACGGGTGGGCTACCTCTACTCACTCATCTTCATCAACCAGCAGCTGGGACAGGACCGGATCCCGCTGCAGTACGTCCAGCAGGTCGGTGACCACCAGGAAGCTCCAGGTTTGTTTCTTTCCACCTGGTAGGATTATCGTGGGATTATTTTTTTGTTTGTTTGTTTTTCCTGCTCAGATCAGCGAGGCCATCCTGGTGTCGGGAGAACACCTCAGCAGGAAGTTCCGCGTCCAGAACCAGAGCCCGTTGATGTATGAGTGGTACCAGGAGCAGTACGTTGGTGCGGCCCATGGGTTGGCTGGGATTTACTACTTCCTGATGCAGGTAGGACATTTAGGTTGGGTGATAGTAGTTAAACTAAGGGGACCCGTTGTTGGGGACGTCATAATTCCTGTGGACATTAAAGGGGCATTATGGAAGTTTGACAGCCAAAACATGTACAGAAATAATAAATTTCTTCTTCATACATTCTCCTGCAATGTCCTGGTCCTGTAGAATGAGCCCTGGCATTTTTACTGTGATTGCCTGATTTTCTGTAAAATCACAGAAAAAGAGAGATGCTCGGGTCGAGCAGGCTGCTTCATGCGCGTTCACGCTCAGGCATAGCCCGTAGCATTTGCTATCAGTAGCTTTAGCAGCAGAGAGAGAGGTAGTGCCAACTCAGAGACTTTGTCGCTGTTCCTAACGCCTAGTGATGAACCTAGCTACATTTCTGAGGACCCTTAGCTACTTTCTGTAGAACTTTCTTCTAGATATTTCCTGCAAATTAGCAACAAAATGGCCATTTTCGCTTCGAACCGTTCTTTGGTTTGATGTTGTTTCAGCTGTTATCAAGGATATAAAAGTTACAGATGCTGTGAATGTTACTGGTGTGTAGCTCACCTTGTAGGATGTCTGACTCCCATGTAGGAGACCTGGGTTCGATTCTGGATGTGAACATAGTTCATATAGAGTTTCTTTTTTACATTAATGGTATATTTTTTTACAGTAAGATGGCCAAATTTTTATTTCAGACTCGCCGAACGGCATTGAATTCACAGATAAAAAAGATGTGGGTTCAACTTTCATTTTGGAACAATTTTTCAAGCAAGGGAAGGGAATGATCTGAGCATGCAGGAGGACTGACCCACCTTAAACCTTTGTCAGCTGTGCTGAAGAGAAAGGTACACAACCAAATTCTTTAATTAGCTGCGCGTTCTTCTGGGCCACACACACACACACACACGGGACTGTCTCAGCTGTTATTTTCATTAAGGAGTGTGCACGTACAGCATGCGCGCCTCGTGCACGAGCCTGCTATCAAAGCTGCCATTATGCTTTTGGCCTGAGGGGACAATTGCGAGCATAAAAATTCTAAACTGCGTAAAGTCCCTTTAAAGCTCCATGTCCAAGGATTGGGCCATGTGGTCTCTCGTTCCTGATAAACACTGAGCCTGCTGGGGAATTTCACACATCCCAGTCTTCATTTCTTGGAAGACTGAAGCTTTTTTTTCCCTCTAATCTTTTATATTTATCATAATTTGTTGTTTTTTTTTTTCAACTCTGACCAGTTTTACAGACCTAATTATTTTTAAAATACCATTTTATTGCTCTAAATGACATCTCTAATGATTTTACTGACAAATAATCAAGTTTTTGCTACAGTTTGGGTGCTTAATGTTGAAAATATGAAATGAATTCAAGAAAAATCAACTATTTTCTTTTTTAAAAGTCCCAACCAGTGAGTAGTGATGTTAACGATCTGGCTCATGTCCAGCACCGTGGTCCAGCCTGTCCGATCCTTTCTCCACAGCCATGTTTCGTCTCCTCCGCGGAGCATGTCCACAGGCTGGTGAAGCCCAGCGTCGACCACGTCTGCCGTCTCCGCTTACCCACGGGGAACTACCCTCCCTGCATCGGGGATGACCGGGACCTGCTGGTGCACTGGTGCCACGGATCACCAGGAGTCATCTACATGCTCCTGCAGGCCTACAAGGTGATCAGTGGAGTCTGGGCTGAGAGGTGGATGTGATGCTTCCGGGGAGTCACAGTGACGTCTTGTGGTGAAACTGTTTCTAATCATTTGGCAGGTTTTTGGTGTGCCTCAGTACCTGGAGGAGGCTCTGCAGTGCGGGGAGGTGGTGTGGAGGTGGGGTCTGCTGAAGAAGGGCTACGGGCTGTGTCACGGCGCGGCGGGCAACGCCTACACCTTCCTGGCTCTCTACAGGCAAACCCAGAACCCCAGACATCTTTACAGAGCCTGCGTGGTGATCAAACTCGTCTATTATTCACTTTCTGTATTTCTAGAAACTGGATAGGTGTTTGTTTTAGTAAATGTTATACAGGTGCTGGCCAGTAAATTAGAATATCATCAAAAGGTTGAAAATATTTCAGTAATTCCATTCAAAACGTAAAACTTGTACATTATATTCATGCAATGCACACAGACCAATGTATTTCCAATGTTCATTACATTTAAATTTGATATTCATAAGTGACAACTAATGAAAACTCCAAATTTGGTATCTCAAAAAATTAGAATATTCTGAAAAGGCTGAATATAGAAGACACCTGCTGCCACTCTAATCAGCTGATTTACTCAAAACACCTGCAAAGGCCTTTAAAAGGTCCCTCAGTCTTGTTTTGAAGGCACCACAATCATGGGGAAGACTTCTGACTTAACAGCTGTCCAAAAGACAATCATTGACACCTTGCACAAGGAGGGCAAGACACAAAAGGTGATTGCTAAAGAAGCTGGCTGTTCGCAGAGCTCTGTGTCCAAGCACATTAACAGACAGGCGAAGGGACGGAAAAAATGTGGTAGAAAAAAGTGTACAAGCTCTAGGGATAACCGCACCCTGCAGAGAATTGTGACGACAAACCCATTCAAAAATGTGGGGGAGATCCACAAAGAGTGGACTGCAGCTGGAGTCAGCGCTTCAAGAACCACCACGAGGAGACTCATGAAAGACATGGGATTCAGGTGTCGCATTCCGTGTGTCAAGCCACTCTTGAACAAGAAACAGCGCAAGAAGCGTCTCGCCTGGGCCAAGGACAAAAAGGACTGGACTGATGCTGAGTGGTCCAAAGTTATGTTTTCTGATGAAAGCAAGTTCTGCATGTCCTTTGGAAATCAAGGACCCAGAGTCTGGAGGAAGAGCGGAGAAGCACAGAATCCACGTTGCATGAGGTCCAGTGTAAAGTTTCCACCGTCAGTGATGGTGTGGGGTGCCATGTCATCTGCCGGTGTTGGCCCACTCTGTTTCCTGAGGTCCAGGGTCAATGCAGCCGTCTACCAGGAAGTTTTAGAGCACTTCATGCTTCCTGCTGCTGACCAACTTTATGGGGATGCAGACTTCACCTTTCAACAGGACTTGGCACCTGCACACAGTGCCAAAACCACCAGCACCTGGTTCAAGGACCATGGTATCCCTGTCCTTGATTGGCCAGCAAACTCGCCTGACCTTAACCCCATAGAAAATCTATGGGGTATTGTGAAGCGGAGGATGCAATACGCTAGACCCAACAATGCAGAGGAGCTGAAGACGACTATCAGAGCAACCTGGGCTCTCATAACACCTGAGCAGTGCCACAGACTGATCGAGTCCATGCCACGCCGCATTACTGCAGTTATTGAGGCAAAAGGAGCCCCGACTAAGTATTGAGTGCTATACATGCACATTCTTTTCATGTTCATTCTTTTCAGTTGGCCAACATTAGAGAAACAAACATTTTTTCATTGGCCTTTAGAATATTCTAATTTTCTGAGATACCAGATTTGATGTTTTCATTGGTTGTCACCTATAAATATCAAATTTAAATGTAATGAACATTGGAAATACATTGGTCTGTGTGCATTGCATGAATATAATGTACAAGTTTCACGTTTTGAATGGAATTACTGAAATATTTTCAACCTTTTGATGATATTCTAATTTACTGGCCAGCACCTGTAGTTTTTCTCTCAGACTTCATATTCTGTCTGTTTCTGACTTTGATGTAAGACGAGAAAGTTCCATCTGACGTAGTCCAAAGCCGATCCGGACGCTTTAAAAACGGGAAACTATCCAGGGAATGGCGGGTGTGTGGGAGGCCTTCTCTTTGTGTATTGACAGGAGGTTGGTGGCTGTTTAAATGCGCTCCAGCTGGCAACGGTTCTGCGTGAGCTTTCATTAATATGAATCTTTTCAGACTGCTTGTTTAGGATCTAATTCAGACAAAGCACCCGGGGGGGGGGGGGGGGGGGGGGGGTCATGGGTTGGGTCATGCTCTTTTACTGAATCGCTGACGTTTGTCACCGTTTGTCTTTGCAGTTTGCTGATTGGTGCATGAACTACGGCAAGCATGGCTGCCAGACACCGGACACACCGTTCTCTCTTTTTGAAGGTAAAACGCGGTGGTTGGTTACAGGTTTATCAGACAAGCTAAGTGGCTGTCACAGATGTGGCTGAATTTGAGTCAGAAACTCGTTTTTGGAGTCGTCTCCTGCTCATAAAATTGCCATTTAACACTGATCCTTGTTGTGAGGAGTTTGAATCGAACGTAAGAGATTTGTGCGAGTCTTCAGGTCACCTGTCTGGAGAGTCAAGTTGCAATCTCCCACTACAGCATCGCCAACTTAGCGACATTGTCGCCATTTCTATCCACGTTGTAGGCCCAAGCAACATTTCTGATGACCCTCAGCTAGTTTACGTGTCAGCGATATTCCCCGCAGGTTTGCAGAACACAGCCTGCGCTCCAGACCGTCCTTTCAGTCGTTAGGAAGGGGAATGGTCTGCACATGTACAGCATGATCATATTACATCGACTGGCCAATCATAAACTTTCTCAGTGGATCTCACTCACTCACAGAACCGTTTGTTTAAACGTGTGGAGCACTGAAAATCCATTTTTAAGGATTATTTCTGATTCTAATCAGTCACACTGAGTTTTTCACGCCGGCTGAACATGAAAATAGTCTCCTACACCTATCTCCTGCATTAAGAGTCTGATAGAAAACCGACGGTGAAACTCTAGGATTAGAAAATCCTGACAGATGTACGCCACACTGTCACTTAACATTCATGGACTCGCCCATCTGGACTCACGACGAGAAAGGCTGTTGTTAGTTTAGCGTCCAGGAAACAGCAGAGGACGTCTCTTCTAGTAGAAGCTAACTGTTAGCGTTAGCAACTCCACCACACAGTAGAACTCCTCCAGGCTTGTGGTATTTGTGGAGTTAAAACATCAACGTTGTAGAACAAACAGAGTCAGAGGTAGAGTTGTGTTGCTGTCAGCCAATCAGAGGTGAGAGGTCCAAATATCAGGAAATAAGATCCTGCTGTTTTCAACTCTTATTCTCTCTCTAACTTCCGCTTCCTGAAACAGGAGGGCCAGAGACTTTTCTACAGATAAGAACTCGAGGCTTTCATTTATGTACCAATGCAAATGTTTTGAAGCAAAGCTTTCATTAATTCATCACTGATTAGCATTTATTATTCATATTTGATCGTTGCGGTCGTCTCTACTCCTGGACCGCCTTTCAGTAAATTACCTGATGATGATTAAAATATTATCCACGCTCATTTTTGGACCCAGCAGACAAATCATAAAAACAAACGGCCCAGTCTCATCGGTTTTACTTCCTGTCTGTTTATGCAGGAATGGCCGGCACCATCTACTTCCTGGCAGACCTGCTGCAGCCAATGAGAGCCCGCTTTCCTGCATTCGAGGTGTAGGACGTGTCCAGAGGTAGTCGTCTATCTCACGCAACCACATCACAGATATTCTAAGAGCAGGAACAACTCTGATTCACGAGGATCCAAACTGACGTTCACATCTGCAGCAAAACGTCTCATCTCCAAGAAGATCCTCCTCCTTTTCTTTGTGTCAAACCTTGTCTTTAAAGATTCTAGATATGAAGACTTTTGGTTTGTTTTGTATATTTTTGTCTAAAAATGTGACAAACAGCACAGATAGAAGTACAATTTGTTTCCTTCCCTTTGCGTCGTTTGAGCGAAACATGGCTTATAGTTGCGGCTCTTGTGGGTTGTGAAGCAGCTTTCTCTCTTTGTGCACCTGCGAATTTGAACCACACGGGGGCAGCAGAGAGCTCTGGAGCCTGTACAGTGCAGCTGTTTTGGCCCGACACTGAACTTGGCACTTGGTTGCCTCTTAATTTCTGTTTAAAGCAGATTTGTGATTGAAACTGTCTAAATTGCTTGAGTTTTCATTATTAAAGCGGCTGAGCTTCTACTCCCAACAAAGAGCTCGAGAGGAACGGAGTCGTTTTGGTTTTTAATGACCTGAGGCCAGTTGGGACGGCTGGCAGAGTAGGAGGAGTTTTTACTGTATGAGAGACTTGAGAAACAGGCGCCTGGCATAGGAGAAATCGAACACCTCCACCAGCAGGAATGGAAATAAAAATAGAGCTCATCTGTCCAAGGGAGTGGCCTCCAGGACACGGCTGTAGCTTTGGAGCAAAATGTCCTCTAGAGCAGACCTTTCTGTTTCAGCATGAACACACCAGCTTGTCTCGCTGTAATGATAACACGCATGTTGTCACAGCGTAAATAAACATTTGTGTTAATAGTACGAGGCTGCACTGATGTTCTATGTATCATATGGTGATGGAAACGTTTGAGTCAAGCAGAAATAAAGAACATTTACAGCAAATTATTTCAAGTAGAAACTTTCTTTGTTTTCACACATGAAATATACTTTTTTCATCATCAACTCATATGTTTCAAAATATGACTCAAAATTCTAGTTTATTATTTGTAAAATTGACAGATAAACCCTTATTTCTCTTGGTGGTAGCTGACAAAAACATGTATTTAACAATTAAGGCAAGGTAGCTGTTTATATAGCTCATTTCAAACACGGGCGATTCAGTGTACTTTATAATTAGCATGAAATGGCACAACAAACATGAGAACACAAATACAATTATAATTTAGAGCTAAAAGGAAAAGACAATTAAGGCTGAGCAATGACATCACAGATAACAGTGGAGACCATTCAGCATAAGAAACAATTCATTCAAATGCTGATGAGTACCATCTGTGAGCAGCATAGCAGCTAAAAGCATCTCCACCATGTTTGGTTCTGACCCGAGGTTCTACTAGCTGTTTGTTACCTAAGGATCTCAGAGCCATATTGGGTGTATATACAGGAATGAGATCTCACTTGTGTTTTGGTCCCATGCCACTGAGTGATTTATAAACTAGTAGTAGCACTTTGAAATCTAATCTGTAGTTTACTGGTAGCCAGTGTAGAGATCTAAGAACAGGAGTGATGTGCTCGGTTCTCTTGGTTCTTGTTAAGACTCCAGCAGCAGCGTTCCTAACAAGCTGCAGTAGCTTCACAGCTTTTTTGGGAAGACCAGTTAGGAGACCATTGCAGTAGTCCAGTCGACTAGAAATAAAAGCATGAATAAGTTTGTCGAAGTCTGGTCTGGACATGAGACTTCTGACTCTTGCCAAGGAAGTCTTTCTAATCATTATTTCATTTTATATTAGCCCAATAATAATAAAAAAGGATATCTTGATAGGAAAGAGTACTAGGGAAAGTAGTATTTTCATGTCAGAGGTACACAGACAAGGGACAATTACTAGTGCTGTGCTGATAAAATCAAAAAGTCGATTATTATAAAAATTCCATGAATTGAACTGAATTGATGTTCAAAAATCGATGTGTTTGTTTAACATAGTTCGCCCTTTTTACAGCTAACATTGGATGGAAAAGTCCAGATGGCCATTTTAAGGTTCAGGTCCGAAAGGGTTAATTCAGTAACTCACCCAGTGTTGCATCGTTGAATTACAGGCATATAGCTATGTAACAGCTAAAAAAAAAAGAAGTTTTAGTAGCACTGACCCAAATTAATGTTGAACTGGAACAGATTGAATTGGACCGGATCGTGGTAATGGATTCAAACTCTTGAGAATCGGAATTGAATTGATTCTTGAAATTTAAAACAATACCCAGCTCTAGCAATTATAAACCCGTGTTGAGTGTTTTTGGGCCAGGCTTGATCAAAAACTCAACATTTTCTGTTATCAGTCATAAATTTGGTATTGCGAGTTTAAATGCCACCATTTGCACAGAGGACGGCGGCTGTCTCAAAAGTCGTGGGCTGCATCCTTCAAAGGACTCGGCTTACCCAACCGGTCCACGTAGGCCATGTCCTTCATTGACCACAAAGACTATAATATAAGCGAATGGCTATGAATTTTAATGTACCAGCCTTCAGATTTTCTCCTCCCCTTACCGTCTGTTGCCTTGTAACCCTGACAGAGCTAAACAGGAGTTAAACTAAACTTAGCAACAATACATGAACAAATACAGGACTTACAATACAAATTTTGCGAGGATTTTTCTTATTTTTGAAAATTTTACTTGAAAAACAGCTATGTACACCAGAAAATCCTAACAGCTGCTGTAAGCTTTGATTTTTGTATCACAAGATACTTACATTTTAAACTTGCTCTCCTTCATCTGCTATTGGTACAATAAAAAAAATCTCACGTTTGGTTCACAATGAATCCTGGGAGAGGGAACACTACAAAGGATACACCCAACTCATTCTTGAAATCTGGGGAAAAGTAAGGATACATTTGGAAGCTGCACTTAAAGTACCGTAGTTTCCGGACTATAGAGCGCACCTCAATATAAGCTGCGCCTACTAAGTTTTAAAAAACACATGGAACTGTACTTATATGAGCCGCACCGGGCTAAAAGCCGCATAAATCTACCAGATATCTACTAAATTGAAAACGTAGTTTAACTGAACGTAGCTGAACTGATCAGTATCAAACAAAACAGAAAAGTTATTGATTAGTTTATTCATCATCCTCCTGCGCACTGAAACCACTGAAGTCATCTTCTTCAGTGTCGGAGTTGAACAGCCTCAGAAGAGCTTCATCACAAACCTTTTCTGTGGCGATGTCAGTGTCGCTGTCCGTGTTGCTGTCATCATCCCCGGGTGAAGCTGGCTTGAATGAGTTCTTCTCGCTGCCGTCTCCAGCGCTGAACCATGGATTCATTCATGCCAAGCTTACGTGCGGCAGCACTGTTTCCCTCCTTTACTGCCAGATCGATGGCCTTCAACTTAAATGCGGCAACATATGAACTCATACGTGTAGTTACCATGATGAGGGGGCATGGACTTGAAAAAAATTCGTCGTCATGCCGGCTGCTTGCATGTGCTAAATTAAAATGAGCACTTTCTTCCATTTCCACTTTTGACTTCCACCTGTTTCACTTTCTGCTAAAGCGCCTCCTGGCAGGTGAAGCAAGATCTTCAGTAAAGCCGCACCTCATTATAAGCCGCATGGTTCAAAGCGTGGGGAAAAAGTAGCGGCTTATAGTCCGGAAAATACGGTAGTCTTCGAATTTGAACAGCCTTGTCGCATTGCTGTGAAGCCTTCAAATGTGGCCTTGGAAGGAAGCAGTCTTTGGATTTGGATGCATCCATGGAAAGAGAAATCCTCCATTGCCTTTCATAAGACTAATAACTGAGTAGAAAAACATATTTGCCAACAGGGATCATCAGAGGGATTTGTTGGGAACTTCTGAGAGAGAAAAAATGTCTAAAATTAAGATTTGCCATCTTTTTTGCACTTCTAAACACCATCTATACAACATACTTTGATTTGGGAGACATTCAACCACATCTTGACAGGACGAACTGAAGTGATAAAATGATGAAAACCAGCCACCTTCACCATTCCCATACCTGTCAGTGAGGGGTCAACTTTTCCAACTCTTTTAACCCTGCCATCATTTAACCATAAGAGGAGGAAAGATCTCGATGTTTAAAAATACCGCCTTGTAATTGAGCTCAACGGGCCTACAGTCCATCTGAAGGGAGCTGCTGAGTTGGCTGCATTTTCCTCATTAACCACCATCTAAAAGGGTTCCTTACAGTGACAAGAACCTTTATAATAATAATCTTTACTGGGTTATGAACTTTTCAGAATCGTGTCAGTTTTGACACAGTTCTCGGTTTTCCAAAAATAGCCCTGTCCCCTTCTAAAGGCCTTCTCCTGGTGCTCCAGCAGCTCTTCTTTCCCTAAGAAAGTTAAAGATGTTCCAGCATGTCACCCGATCCTCCACTACTGGCATACATGACATCACATGCTGAGGATAAATAAGGGGGCTATGACCGTGGCTCAGGACCACTCTGTCTTGGGACTTCAGCTTCTCATCTCCTTTCTTTCCGCTCCTCTGTGCTCCTACCCTCCAGAATGGTGTGTAGAGAATTCTGTTTTGGACCTTTATTTGCTGGAGTTAAATTTTGGCTGTTCTTGGTTTTGGACACGAACTCTTAGAATTGATGCCTAAAACTTGGACTTTGTGCCAGAATTTTGAATTGGTATTTTTTTTTTTAATACTAGGTTGTTGTTTTTTTTTTGGTCGATTGAGAATTTTCTCTAAGGACCTTCAACATGTATATTGGTGCTTGTACAAAAAAACGTAAACACCAAGAAGCCTGAATAACTCCATAAAATCCTCACTTTTCACGATGTTTTCTCCCTCTAACATAGACTTCCATTACAGTTTCTGTTTTGTGTGTTTCTATGTGACAGACGGAGTTTACTCCGGACCAGATTGAGGGTAAGTGAAGATTACACCGTCATCAGGAAAAGATAAAAAGTCCCTCCAGTTTTTATTTTACTTCTCTATGCTTCAATTTCATTAAAGTTGCTCAAGTAATTCTTGGAAAATTTAAGATCTAAAAAGAGGTAAAAAAGGGTTTAGAATGCCGTAGATTGTTCCACTCTTGTATATTCTCAGAGGACCTAACCTTGTCTTACAAGCCAGGGATGCATGAAACCTCTCTTCAACCTTGAAGATGCCAGTATTGAATTACACAAGGAATTCAAACCCTTTAGCTCTGTGGTCAGTGATGCATCTGTACGCATACTGAGATTGTGTCTGGACTTTAGTTTACGTAAAGGTTTAGAACCAAAATGCGTTTCATCTTTATGCGTTTTGGACTCGTCTGTCATTCGGCTCAATTTCTTCGGAGGTGTTAAAAATGCCACGGTCAGCGTTCTTATGTTTAACTCTACATGCCTCTACATGGCTCGTGTTTTTACTCGCGGGGGCGGGGGGGGGGGGGGGGTGTTCTGGTACGACTGGAACCAGGAATTAGGAGGGGTCAGGGTGGGGAGGGTACAGCTGTTGCTGTGGTTCAGGAGTCATGCAAGAGCATTAATCTGTCAAAAAGGTCACTTTGAGGTTTTGGAGGTATCAGTGGAAATAGAAATTCTTGGTTTGGAGCCCGATATTCTTCTTCTTTGCTTGGATGCATCTGTTGCACCCAATTAGCACCAATTTGTGATGGATGCATGTGGATTTAGATGGTATTACTCCTCCCAGCTGTCACAGACAAGACTACTCTAACATAGAGATCAGCAAATCCAAACAAACTAATAAAAGTGGCATTTGTTGGTGTTCTTTTGAACCTTGTAACTCAACCATCTCTCTTGTTTCCTTCCCACCTGTTCAGACTTCAAGGAGGCTTTTGGTCTCTTTGACAGAGTCGGTGACAGCCAGGTGGCCTTCAACCAGGTGGCTGACATTATGCGCGCTCTGGGCCAGAACCCCACCAACAAGGCCGTTAACCAAATTCTCGGCAACCCAAGCGCTGATGGTGAGAGATGCTTGAGCAA